TGTATCCAGAAAGTCAATGGAGGGCTTGGGAATCAGGAGGGGAGCTGACATACGTTCAGATCACCATCTGGTGGTTGCCAAGACGAAACGGAAACTAAAGAGGCGTTGGACATCTGGACAAACAGCATTACAGATTGACGAATTCAAGATAGCTCTTAACAACACGTTCCAAGTCTTACAAGATGTTTTCAAAAGGGAAGAAACTACTATGGAGGACAACCGGAAAGGGATCAGAAAAGCACTTCAACGTGTCACGAGGTGCTGGGCTGCAAAAAGCATCATCATAAGGAATGGATTTCTATGGAAACCCTGGACAAGATTCAAGGTAGGAAGAATAAGAAGACATTAATTAACAACTGCCAAACCAAAACAGAACAAGTCAAGGCACAAGCTGAATACACAGAAGCAAACAAGCAAGTGAAGATGAGCATAAGACTTAACACTCAGAAACACATGGAAGGGCTAGCAAGAAAAAGAAATATGAAACAACTATATAACGCGACAAAGAAACTGGTAGGGAAATACAGTAAACCAGAGATACCGGTCAAGTGCAAGGAATGCAAACCAATCTACTGAGATTCATGAACAGATGGCTAGAACACTTCGAGGAACTCTTAGATAGACCAGCCCCACTGAATCCACCAGATATTGAGGCAGCGCACACAGACCTTCCTATAGATGTTACTCCACCAACGATCGAAGTCAGGACGGCCTGTCATCAGACAAAGTAAGAGTGGGAAAGCAGAAGGAACAGTATACTAGCTGGATCTCTAAAACCAGATATACAAGTAACTGCAACTATGCTCCACATTCTATTCAGGAAGATTTGGGAGGAAGGACAAGTGGCACTGACAGACTGGAAAGAGGGATTCCTCATTGGAATATCAAAGAAGAGAGATCTAAGCAAATGTGAAAACTAAATTGGTACCAGGAAAGATTTTCAACAGAGCGATGCTGAACTGAGTGGAAGATCCAGTAGATTCCCAACTTCGAAATCAACAGGTCAGATTCCGTAAAGATACTATGCAACGTAGCAACCCTTTGGTTTTTGTTGGGATATTTATAAAAAAATCCCGAAAATTATTCTGTTAAGTCTAATGCTATTCTTGAACGTGAAAAGGTGTCATTGTCCTATTGGTCAGTATTTATTTCACGTGTCGTCTCCCTACTGGTCAATATTTATTTCACGTGTCATTTTCCTAGTGGTCAATATTCACGGTCCTCCTAACTGTATAAATATGCATTTGTCTGTAAAGTATTCTACTTCTTCTCTTCATATGCTTCTCAATAAGTTTGCTTGAATATCTTTTCCAGTTAAGTTGGTTTTGACCATTATTTAGCTCTTCCTCAGTCTTTTCTTTAGGATAAAATAAGCACGCCACGTGTCAGACGTTGCTCAATGTTGACTAGATATATATGAGGTACAAGACTTTCAGAATATGTATAAGGATTATACTCTACATCCTTCTTTTTAAGTTTCTGTCCTATCCCTACATGTCTGAGATTTTAAAATGCAATTGCACAAAGCGACCACTTTCTGAACGCATCTCGGAACATCACCCGACACAGATTTTAAAAGGAGAATGAAAAACAGTTACCAGTATAATACGGGAGCGTCTAATCAACTCTAGACACGTCGCTCCGAAAGTCTTTAAAAAAATAATCTGCACAATCAAGAAAACTGGATCAAAGGGAGGCCTAATCAAAAGCTTATGTACTGCTGAGGCATTAGCGATCTACCAGTTCAAGCCCAAACTCTGCGTGCAATAACAATACCTTCAACCTCTCATCCTTCCTTGACCCTAATTCCCTCCTGTAGTATGTTTTTTTAAACTAGTGTATTGTAATTATAAACTGTTATCACTTATCATCCTTTAACAATTTTTCATGATTATTATTCAGTTTTTATTATGACCTCTATGTTCGTCGTTTTTTCTTCATATCTGTCAAGTAGACAATTACATTACATAATTTTGACCCGTAAATTATTTTCATCTTTCTATTCTTATCTAACACTCCGATTATTACGTAACCTCATTTTATAATTAGTCTCGAATCGAATTCACTTCTTTTTGTTTACTTGCATCTTCCCATTGATGTTTAGGTTTGCAATTGATCAGTCTCTTGTTGACACATATGCATCATGTGTGGATTGCCTCGATATAGTCTTAAGTCACAAGCTTTATAAGCAAAGATGGATAATGGCTAGCAACCCAGGTACATCCAGATAACGAGTCCCAAATACGACGAGATGCGCGTCCTGGATTCCACTACTAGCCATTGTCCATCATTGCTTATAGTCTCGAATCAGTTTATGATGCAATCTTTCCTATCCTTCTATAGACACATATTTACCACACAACTATAAATACGAATGTACAGCTTAAGTAAATGATTTCGTGGAAAAGAAAGTTTTCTTCGTTGGATTCTCTTTATCCTAGTCTTTCGGCAATCACCGTATTATCTCTTCTCAATAAATCAAACAGAGAATGCATTGTAGTAAATGACGACTCACTAAATCATCCTAGCACAAAACCTACCAATGTGGCAACTGTGGAGTTACAGGGTACACAGATGGAAGCTTTAGTCAAAATACACCTAGCGAATTCAGAAAATTTGATAACTCAAGGAATGAACTGGTGGTGAGGTCAATAGATGTAATAGAAAATACAACACCAGCACCTGAGAAATACATCACAGACTTCAAAACATCTAGGTTTCTTTCCTTTTGTTAATATATTTTAGTCACCACACATAACTGATTCTTAGATTTTTACTTTACAATGATCTTTGCTACTATTTGATTATCTACGTTGTCATTTAGTGTGTTAATTTTTTTTTCAATATTTTTCAGATGTCATTGTCTCTGCTATAAGTTGAGGATATTAAAGCTCTCATGAATGTCTCGTTTTCTCTTTATACTATTTTAGTCGCCCGATCGATGTAGTTTGTGTAAATCTAATCTAATACTAAAAAAGCGTCCTACTCATCCATCCGTTAAAATAAGAAAGTAATTCACTTAGGGTAGACGTTGGTCAAGCTGAATAATAGAAGCAATAAATTAATCATGGTGGGTAAAGAAATCTCAACAAAATTAGAGAAAGCTCTACACAAAATTAAGCACTGGAACTTGAGAATACTGTTGATAATGTTAGATAGATAATGAGACGTTTGTCGAAGGATGAATATACTGAGGAAACGTTATCTCTGTGTTCCTGAAACATTGAAGAAAACTGAAATAAGATGATATGTGTTTAACTGTTGATACTTTCGAATGAGTGTTGGCGTTTGTATAAAATATTGAATCAATATTGTTAAAAAAATTAAACATTATTCTCTATATGAGAATAAGAAAGTCGGTTAAGTTGTAAGCTTAAATCAGTTGTTTTGAGTAGCTAACATATTAGGTATAACTAGGTAAATACTAACTTAGTATTACATAAATCTCAAGAAGTAATTATTTGTTAGTTTGAATTACAACAAGGAATACAAGCTTCATTGCTAATTTCCATATTTTGAAAACAGAGTAGTTAAAAAGTTCAGACAACATGTTTCAGTGCTAAAAGCACATCAACTTGAAATGGTCACACTGTAATAATTATCTATAGTATAATGTTTATCTATATATCCAATTATAAGCTAAAAGATATTGAAAACATGTGAAGACGGTTTATGGGTGTACCCGAGGAAGCTCTAAGAAGCTCAGAAAGAGCCGAACATATTCCATCCAATTATCTTTTGGAAGAATATTCCAGAATCCCTACATCTAGCTCCCCTATTGGATAAATGCTGATAACTCCCTGTATGCGAATTGGAGGACTATAATGATGATTTCGTTCTTACTAAAAACTATAAATACCTGACAGTTTTGTACCATAATTGATATTAATTGGAATAACACTCCTTTCACTTGTTTACTGTCTTCTCATTTGCGAGTTGGGAGGGTTCTAGGATTCCAGTATTCAAGTTATATGCGGCATATTAAAAATCTAAGCTCTAGATATAACAAAACAACTAACAACTATCACTTCATATATGTATTGAATTACTCCATTAAACATTTTCCATAGAATTAAAATTAATTCCTAAAACACAAGTATATTGAGCAGTTATTTATCACATATGTATATATATATATATATATATATATATATATATATATATATTGCTGTTATAAGAAATAAGTAATATCAGAATGTCTTTTAGAAAAAGCATACAGAGGCAAACAAAAAAAAAAGAAAGAAAATTATCTGTCATTAAATGAAACCAACAAAAACAGTATGCTTATGGCGCATTAAGTCATCCGTTCAATCAGAAATAATATTTTATTCGAAATGATGAGAGATTGCATATTGTTTATCATGAATGGATCAATTCAGCGATTTGAATTACTCGATATTCATCGATATTCGTCTACTACTAAATCAAATTATGAAATTCGATAGACACTAAAAGGCAATTGTAGTATAGTAGATTTCAACTGAACAATATATAACAGTTAATACATAAAAAGGAAGGGAGAAGAGGAGAGAGAGAACAGAAACATCATACAAAACTTGTTTCAAATAAGTGTACCCTTTATACAATTTAATTTCTTCTAGAGATTTAGTTTTATTTATTAAAGTTTTTCTTCTTTTTTTTTCTTCTCATTTCAATCACCGAAATATAATTTTGAATATTGTCGAAAGTGAACATGTACACAAACACATTGACAGATCAAGAACGAAACGAATTGAGTAAAAACAAACAAACAACAACAAAAAGAAGAAGAAGATTAAAAACGAACGAAAACGAAAATTTATCACTACATATTAACGTAAAAAAAATAAATGAACAAGAAATTGGACGGATTCAAGTTCATTATCGACTGAAATCATTAATATGTAAGATAAAATGATGTCTTCCCCCCCCCTCGACCCCCGCCCCACTTTTTTTCTTTTCTTTTTTTGTTCTCATTTATTTTCAATAAACTTCTTTTCTTCTTATTTTTTTTTCTTGATTTATTTACCAAATAATGATGGTAATAAAAAAAATAATAAATGTAAAAGATTTCTTAAAAATAAATTAATCCAATTGAATAAATCATGAAATAATCTTGTCTTAATTAATTGTATACGATGTACTATGCATGATAATGGTAAATTTATATATTTAATTTGATTAATATTAGACAATTTCATAATTGTTGTTTGGTTTTGTTGATAATGGCATTTTAATTGGTAGCGGTCATAATTATTGAATGAACTGTTGGTGAATTGGTTGATGTTGAGAATTGGTTGATTGCTAATGATTGAATTACATCGAATATGATGATGATGATCACGTAAAGAAAACAACATTGAAGATGAAGTGATTAGAGGAGAATTGAATAAATTCCATGCTTTATTATCATTTCCACTATTATGATTATGCTTAATCCATGCTTTATTTAATATATAGAAAATGAATAAATTTTAATGCAAGCACATGCATAAATAAACTATAAGAAATAATGACAAATAATTAAAAAGATAATACACAAAATGTGGATTATGAAGCAATGGACTAATCATTATTTTTGTTTTTGTGAAATCATTCGGATAGAAAAAAAGCAACAGCAACAACAACACATAAATCTTCATGCATAGATTCATATGGTTTAGGGTTGAGAAATGATAATACAGTTGTAGATTGATCATTTTAAAAGAATCATCAATGTAAATTATGATACATGATGTTTAAATGAAGAGAAGATAAAGTGATAACTTAATGGTTAAAGCTTTTGACCAGTAAGCTTTAGATTAAACTCGCACCCAACACACTTTCAATGGCCTAATGATCAGCTAAGGCTGATAAGTCCAACCCGAACGTTGTTGCTACCTTGAAGTGATGGTCGGGCTTGCCTATCTTGATGAAGCAACCGAGCTATACTGGCAGGAACAATCGTTCCTCAAAGTCCTACCATGCCAGATAGGTCGGTTGAAGAGCGATAAGACTAAAAGCAACAAACCCAAGGTCCGAAGGCGAAGTCGTACTGCTGACTGTACAGAGGTGTGGTGGCAGTAAGGTGTTTCCTTCAGACAACCAGCATAACAGCGATGCTGCCTTACCACAAGGAGGGGTGGGGTTAGAAAAGGTCGAACCTAAAAATGCACACCTCGCCTTATCCCGTGGATATCCGTCTCCGGCGGTAAGGTCTCAACAAGTACGGAGCTAACACAAAAAGGTCGTGTGTGACGGACCTCAAGCAGTTATCCCTTGGTCACTGTGGTCACGTTCTCAGGCCATTAAGACCACCTCTAACCCTATTTCTTTTTCAGGTACCTCCAGAAGAATCCTTCCACGGTGTGGGCAACCGGGAAGTGATAACCGCCCTCATACCTCTAACAATACTCAAGATCACTAACTGACTAACTGCTGAGAAGTCCACTCTATTTATAAAAATGCTTTCATACGGTTGGTCATGTGTTTACAGCCTCTATCAAAACCATTTAAATCGTTACCTTTATATGCTAAGGGATATTTTTGTTATGCAGTAAGACTACTACTCTATGTCCGCTACAGATGTATACATTTATATTAAAAAAAAACCTGAGTAAGTATAAAGATGATGTTAGCTAATCGAATTGAAAGTATATTAATAATTGACTAATAAATATCTTATTCCCTCAAAAAAATAAAACCATATGCATTCTCAACCAATAGAATACCATTAATTCCATGGGAGAAAAATCATATTTCATCATATTTAGCTTAAACCTATATTCTATAAAAGAAACCTAATACTCAGAGAATCTTTAAAAAAAAACAGAAAAAAAACTAAAACTCATTTATATTCCATAAAATGTTCACATTTTTGTTGTTGTTGTAAATTACATGAACATAAGTAAACAAACAAACAAAAAAAACAAAAAAAGAAAAGAAAATTGTTTAAATTACATAAAAAAAATATTTTTATCTATTTTTTTTTCTTTCTAGAAAACTTATCATAAATATAATTAAAACAAAATATACAAATTAAAAATCAATAAAAAAAGAACGTTAATATTATGAAATCGATAAAGATGAGTTCATGTAAATAATGAAATAGATCTTTTTTTTAAAAAAAAAAGAAAAAAAGAAATCAAAAGAAAAAAAGTCGATTCATTCAATATTGAATTTTAACTTTTTTTTTTTTGAAGATAAACTTCAATAAAAATAAAGACGCCATGTACAGTTTTTTTTTAAAAAAAAAAGAAAAGGAAGAAGAAAAACGAGGTACCATAATTCAAATAAAAATTGAAAATAAAAAATAAAACAAATTTCGAAATAAATCGTGTAATGAGTTAAACAAATAACTTAATCTAAGATAATTATACTTAGATGATTATTATGAGGATAGTGGAGAAGATTTATACCTAAGGTGGATGATGTTGATAGAGTTTTGTTCTCTGAGATGAATATTTTGGTCGTGGAGCTTTCATCGTTCTTCTGAACGGACATCATCAGCACAAACTTCATCAGCGCCAAACAATCCAGCTCAGAGAACAAAACTCCATCAAAATGATGATTATTTTTTGTAACATTTAAAAAAGAAAGTACAAGGTTTTCTCTATATTTAGTAGTATGTATCATGGAATATTGGATTGGAACTGAAATAACAGGCTGTTTAAATTATACTGTAGGATAAGACGGAAACATTTATTGTAATATAACTGATAATAACTTTTGATATTTACGGTGTAGATCAGATAGACCTAGTAGTCAAAGTACATGGCTTACTAATGTAGTGAACGAGAACACAAATGGGGATAATCGAATGTATTAGAACATAAAATTACAAAATATCTTAGTAAAATCTGAGAACCATATAGTAAATGGCTCATTTGAAAAATGTTAATCAATCGGCTCAGATATCATTGTTCCTTCGTTTTCACAGCAATTATTCTCTGTTCTCTTTTCTTCGATCTTCTTAACCTTCTGCTTCCAGGTATTTCAATTTCGATGGATGGTATATACTACTTATATCTGTCGACATTAGTAGCACACACTACACAGCTAATAAGCTCATATGTCTAGACTTCATTCAAAATGATATAGTCTAGGCTCTCATTTAGCAATACTGTGCTGTTTTAAACTGATTGAATGAAGTCCGAGAACCAAAAGTATAAAAATTATCAGTTTTGGTGTTTGTCAGATAAAGAATGTTTTCATTTGTATCATTGGTATAAACACTAAGTTGTTTTATAAAAGTCACCAAATATGAATCAGGACAACTTTATGTAACTCAAAGCAGATTTTTTGGACATGTGCATCACAATACTTAGGTAAATTCGGCCAACATCTATATTGACTAGTGCGGACTACTGATTTAGTCGCACTGTTTACTGATGGTGAGGGGAGATACTTAATATGAAAATAGTAATTAAGGTTTACCCATTAGCATTACTAACATGGTTTTTACTGAAAGTTGTCAGTTTTTCAGAAGCAATGACAATCAAACATAAATAGTGGTCAGATATCATCAACTCGAAAGCATAAAACAGAATCGATTTCACTGGTGCGTTATAAAGCAGACCTTTTAGAATTAAACTGGAACTACGTTGGCACTAAAGATGATTTATATAGGTCAGGTCGCTCTAGTTTTCACTATACATATTGGCTTCATTTTCGAATTTAACACTAGCACCAAAATATCTACTCAGGTAAACAATTTTTTTTTCAAATATTTCCAGTAGTACACCACAAAAAGTGAAAAAAGTACATGTTGATCAAACAGTACTTCACATTCAGAAGGTATAGAGTACTTCCAAAGACTAATTCCCAACTAATTTAGTGCACAATGATACAGTGTAACGACAGATCACATATATTTCCTGATACACCTTAAAAAGAACATCACAAACGTAAACTGATTAACTGTATTAAATATGTTTGCAGCTTATCCTGCGAAGTTGACTTTAAATCAAAATAAATATCAATTTTTATTTCTTTCGACTTCAGAATCGATTAGTTATAGACGTATGACTCAGGGTTCGACAAATAATTCATTGTACGAATAACCTTTTATACAATCTTCAACTAAATTCATAAATATTCTACTCCAAGATCATTCATCATTTTGAGTAGTCAATGCTAAGAATATTCCTTCACAGTATTAACCCATTTTACTCTACACTATCATAATTATGCTTTAGTCATATCAATAATTCATGTTAAGTTGATAAGCGAATAGCTGACAAGGTCAAAATGTGAATCAAAAAGAATAAATAAATTAGCTTGTCTGGAAGCCAGAATAAAGACCGAAGCTACATATATCGATGATTGGATAAAATTTTTAAAAATGTGAACAATTGCACAACTTAATAGCATGTTTACTGAGAAGATAAGAGGTTCTTGATGTGCACTACTGAAAAGCCACATAATAAAATGAAAAAGCGGTGCAATGTTCTTTGCTTCTCAATAATTGTGATTTAAATTTCAACCTGAATCATTTTTAAAAAAACATCCCATGTCAATGGAAACAAATAAATAAATTACCATTGATGCGTATGACATTAGAAACAGAAACACCGATTCAAAACATGCATTATGCTATATAGCACACAAAAAATTGGCTAAGATTTTACCTAAACAAAATAATATCGAATTATATTTCTTTTGGAAATATTTTACTACTTATGAGTAGTGAATATTAATACCACGCGAAACAAATTACATTTCATGCATTTATCATGCTATTCTAACCAAAGTTAAAGAATATTGAATCGCTATAAGTGAGAAAAATCAACTTTATGCTTTCTATGTACAATAAATGTCTAACTTATACAGAACTTTATATGATGAGTTAATTTTCATGCATTTTAAAACGACTAAATCATTACTATAACTACTTAGTCACATAGGAACCATGAACAATACTAAATAACAATATAACATATCTATCGGGTACAGATTCATGTATTTATCTTTGTATTGTACGGCTATTTATATTAAATTATGACAGAACCGTGTCGGAATTCGCAATCTAACTAGTTACATTTCATAAAATCTAGTTCATAAACTATTGCTTCAAGTGACTATCGTAACCAATGGTTGGAGACTCTTGGTGACATGGCTCAGAATCGATCACAATGGCGTCGGTGTATACACTCTCTACCTTCCCTTAAACTAAAAGATTAAAATTGCTTCATATCTTTCTTTCTACGAACTAATTCTTTCTTCCTGTACTATATCCTTATTGCAATCTTTCTTTTATATATTACCACAACTGAATTAACTACTTTTATGAATCCGTTGTCCATCTTGTTGTGCTAATGAAATTTGGCAACTTGGATCGATGCATATATGTGCCTGGTCCTATTTTGTAGCTGACTGACTGACTGCTTCAAGTGAATAACACTAATGAGACAACAATTTTATACTTTTCAATAGAAATATGCATCTCAAAGTATCTTAGGAGTTAAGAGATGTTGTAATAGATTCAGGATATAATAAATAAATATTAATTAAACACTAAAACTTAAATATTTTTGATATCTAGGTTGAATGTTACAGAATTAAAAATTAACTAAATCATATAGTTGTTAAACATTTCAGTTTAAACAACAGAGTAACACTGATTTTGGACATAAAATCCGATTTCAAATATTGAAGATGTATGTATTAGTCTTATAGATCATTTAAGATCTGAATAATGCAGTTCATTATGAAGCTTAGTGACAAGAATTCAAACATCACTAAGACCATCGATTGGTTGAAGATAGCAAACAGTGTACTCTATTTGACCTGGGTTTCATGTTAGTTAGCCATAGTCATTTAAACATACCTATGATCTTGGGAGCATTAGTTCTTACAAAAATGAAATTTAATATTTTCCATTTTTCGAAACGAATTATTAGTTCACCAATTCATTAAAATAATTAATCGGTACCATAGTCATTCTTCTATTGAATGTTTAGATAAGTTTGATTTTACAATTTATTAAAAACAAAACAATCCACCTTTTTTTTATAATTAGATGATAGTAATTTCAATGATTGAGATCGTGAGTCAGTTGATGTTAGACCACCATGGAAAGCCTGGTTTCCCATGGTGGTCTAGCTTCAATTGACTCATGATCTTAACCATTGAAATTACTGTAATATCCACAAAACTCCTTCTGATATCAATTAAATTATACGTTAAAAATATCATATAACTTACAAAAGTCATAGGATAAATAGTCTCTTGTGTGATTAAAATTATAATGATCATCTGAGGAATTCATTAGTTTCAATTTTTCTTTTATTGATGAATTTATTTCAATACGAATTGTAGAAATATGTGAATTTATAAAATTTTTCGGAATAATTTCATTCACTTTTGGCATTATATCAGTAGTATATTTAGATATTTTAATTAATTCTTTCATTTCACAATTTCTATTCATTACATTTTGAGTTATATCATTTTCACTAGGTTGTTGTTGTTTCTGGTGGTGAATTTTGCTTGACAATGGAAAATTTACAAATAATTCAGTATTTGTATTAATAGTCTCTTTGATACTACTACTACTACTATCAACAATATTAGTAGTATTATGACGGTTAAAGAAATAAAAATCACGATCAAGTAATTTATAATAATTTAAATCACAAAACATTAAGAATAATTGATATTCTTGTAAATAATTTGAAATAAATAAATAAATTGATACACAATTTTCAGTCGATTTGTTGTTTCTCCAACTATTATACTCAACTACGTTAGAATTTGACAAGTTGTTGATGGATAGTTTAGAATAACTGGTTAATGATTTTGATTCATCATGTATACCGATGGGATACCTATTCGTCAACTGATAACACTTGTCAGTATCAACATAACGATTGTCACTGTTCGAGTTACTTGAACAAATTTTGGTTAAATCGGAAAGACTTTTAAGTAGATTGAAATGTCCATTGATTAATTTTTTAGATATCTTTCTAATAAACTGTTCGGATGATGATGGGTGGTTGTTTATCGAAGAGGTAAAATGTGTACATGCTGCTGAGTTGATAATAGGAAGATAGTTAACACATAATTTTAATGAAGGCATTAGTTTAGAAAAATTTGTTTGACTAACAACATCTACATATGGAACAATATATACAGGAGATTGTACTATAAACTGGGCTAAACAATGTGGTGATATAAATTCATCAACAATTTCAATAACTGGATCTACACTGAATAATTCAATAGCGTATTTCACATTATCATCATTACTACTACTATTCTTGTTATTATACAGTGTGGTTTGTGATGATTGATGATTAATTTCTGTTTCGATTATGATTGGTTGATTTAATGACTGGAGAAGCCAAGGATGATTGAGACATTCTTTGGCAGACATACGTTGTCTTGAAACAGAAAAATAATGAGAATAAAAGCAATAAGAGTAAAGGATAAAACAATACAGTAAACTGATAAAATACAATCTTCGTTTTAAAAGAAGTACTTACATCAACTAGACTCAACTGAGAAAGTAGAGTTAATGACAGAAATTATGACTCAGGGTTGTAGTATAACCGAAGTAAACATACACTAATAATTATAGAATAATTAAGGAGGAACAGTCAAATATTACTTTATGATTAACATGTACCTTTTAAAACTCTTTGTGGAGATAATTCTCTCACAGATTTTAATAAAATTCTATGATCGAATAGACAATGGTGCTTTCATATATAATCATTCTTCTCTGATTTATTGTGGATAAAATTTGCCAAATACAATAATATAAATCCATTTTATTTCAATTTTTAGATGAAAAACAAGATGATTCTTTGTCACAAAGAAGTTGTTGTAACTTGACGTTGGATCGTTTTTTTTACCCCGTCGACAATTGTTATAACTGTGACTGAGGATTGGACGGCAGTGAATAATCGATCGGACCAAAGACGCGTAAAACACGTAAGAACGACCTAGAGTACTGATTGGCCCTGCTTCCCTGTCTAGCCCAGCCAGTTGAGTCCAAAACACCAATCTCAGCCTGTGCAATATGAATCATTACATTTCAAGCATACTGAGTTTATATACCAAACAAACCGACCACAACGTACCAATAAAATATGAAACAACATTTGTACAAGAATTAGCCAGATGTGGCTGTGAATGAGGGAGGTAGAGATTAACAGACAGGGAATAATTCATGAATGGTAAATCGTATAATAATAGTTCACTGGTCAAAATAAAGCTCATAATAAGAGGGACATGAATATGAATAGTTTAGTTATTTAACAATTATACGATAAAAATATACGCATAATATTGGTCCATAAATGAATCCCAAGAATTACCATTCATTATTCTTATCAGGATACAACAGAAGTAGACTGGAATAAAGTTGGAGATGAGCATAACATGAAATAGTACTAATCAATGAAGTCGTTGAGATTACTCGTCTGAACCATATCGGCAGACATGTACTTTTCAGTTGCAGCCCCTACGTAATACTAATACTCATTGATTGTAGATATTGCGTGAAATAGTGCAAAATCGGGTAACAGTGAAACAGTTGCGCTTACCTTCTATCTTACCCTAAATTTTAAGTGTTAAGTACTATTATTATTATTATTATTATTATTATTATTATTAATACTTCCATTGAAAATATCTCTCTTGTTTAGACTTGCGTTACGTTTAAGATATTACAGCAATTTAAAATCGTGTTTTAAATTATTATTCTTATCATTATCGTACAACATCTTTGTTAAACAAACATGGTTTTCATCATGAATACACAAATAATCTAGTTGTAAATTTGTATACATTTAAATGGTGGTGGACAATTGCTCAATGTTTAGAAAGCCCAAATGTAAAACAGAGCAGTTCGTTCCGTCCTACTTTATGGCAGTCAAACATGGCCGGTAAGAGTAAAGGATATTCGTAGGTTACTAGTATTTGATCATAGGTGTCTTCGAAATATTGCTCGTATATCGTGGGACCATCGAGTAAGTAATGTAGTTGTTAGGAAACGGGCACTAGGTAAGGATGGCAAATCAATTGATGAAGTAGTGAAACTTCATCAGTTGAGATGGCTGGGACAAGTGTTACGTATGCCCAACGGCCGATTGCCTCGACGTGTGATGTTCAGTGGTATAGGAGTAGGTTGGAAGAAAGCTAGGGGGCGGCCAGACCAAAATATGACATGTCCATGAAGTCACTGAAAAGTAGACTGAGTCATATTGTTAGGTGTAGAGTACCTGGTTGGGGACCGCGAGGTGATAGCAACCGATGGTTAGAGACCCTGAATGACATGGCTCAAAATCGTTTGCAATGGCGCAGGTGCATCCACTCTCTGTGTTCTCCCAAATTCTAATCTTCTGAATCTTTCATGTCCCTTTTTTCCTCTTTCCAAATTTATTTCACTGGATTATACTCTTTAAATAACATCTCCAAACACTAATCTTCCCGATTACTGCTTATACTCTTGCTACCTCTACCACTACGGGATTTGAATCGACCACTGCATCTCTGTGCCAATGTAGTGTGACAACTCGAACCGATGTACGTACGTACGAAGTTCTACGTTGTTACTGACTACCTGTTGTTCAGTAGCTTGCATTAATTCTTTTCAATTTATATCAGTTTCCAATAAAAAGGATTCTATTCGGCAACAACAGAAAAAAAAGTACTTACATCAGTGAAAAAAAAATATATGTTATTGTCTTTTAGCTATTTTCTTATTGTAATTTCACATGATTTATCTAAGTGTTGTTGTTGTTTTTTTTCCAACCACAAAGCAAAAAATCTTGATTAAAGGTATTTTAAGAATAATCTTCCTATGATTAGAACAATGGTAAATTTCTTAGAAATATCTAAAGAATTTGTGTGGAATTCTGGACAAATGTGTAGAACTTACATTTTGGACATGATTATTATCATTATAAGTAAATATATACAGATATAAATAGTCGAATGGTTAGTTACTTAGTTAGTTCATTAGATTATGGCAAGAGAGATAAAATGTTTTATTAAAGTTTAGTATTTCTCGAATATCTTCGAATCCTTATTATTATCATTGAAGATACAAATAAATAAAAGCTTTACAGTAGCATTCATTATTACGTAATATATATACGAGAGAGAGAGAGAGAGAATGTGATACAAATGTCTTTTCTTTTACGAAATACACTGGAGAGAGGGAAAATAAAACATAAAACCGACTAAAGCGGTAAACTGTTGTGATGGGATTTCAAAGGAGAAGGTATAGAAGGTGAAAAAATATAAATAATTGAGTGAAAGTATGTAAAAGAGAGAGTTATGCAAACTATGGAAAAGGTATGAAAGCATAAACAATAAATATAATAAACTGTATCTAAACAAAAAATGTGTCCATGTAATGTAAAAAAAAAAGAAGAGAAAGACAAAACAAACAAACAAATATGATTTGATCAAATGAAAATTTATTATTATTAATGATGCACTAGATTGTTAGAATAAAATGTAATTTACTTACAATCAACTTGAGAAATATAGAAACAAGGAAGATGGATTCAGTAAAGAGATGAGTTCTTACAATTTCCCCTATGAATTTACCTCGAAATAATAAGTGTTTTTATTTTTAAAACAACATGAGAAATGTTAAATTTAAAACAATCAGTTTTTCTGTTGATACATTTGAATAATGCAATATGAACTATGTAGAAACAAACCTGAATGGCTAAAAAAAGAGAACTGCAATGAACAAATACGATCATAGCATGAATAAATATCCTCTTTTGCGAAACATTTATGTATTTATTTGAACACATAAATACTGGTACAAGGGGCACCAGTTACATATGCGCCACACAAATCTCATTTGATATGTATGAGAGCTGTGATACTGCCCAGGTGCTCAAACCGAAGTAGGTGGTTTACTTAGGAGGCCACTCCCCGAGCCTTCGACCTGAAGGTCTGATCCACAAGGTAGTGGAGCAACGCAAGGAGATGCAGTCCTATGGTAGCCGGTGATCAACCATTGGTTCATACGCCATTTGTTCCTTCAGGATACTGGAGCTCATGTGAACCATTGGTTTGGAATCAGGGTTTTCCAACTCCCCTAGACAGATCCTCCACGTCCACCAACCCGGTTAAAGTGTCGGACATTCGCTTTTCGTCCTCTCAATTTCGTAAACAACACCTCCGCCACGAGAAGGCAATGAGCAGGACTTCCCTGGCAGAGGCTATATACGCGTGGCCGTGTGAGAGCATTTCGAGAGGAAGAGCGGACTCTCCCCACTCTCGGCCGTACCAGGGCATTTGGGGGCTGCGAAACATTTGGTTGAGATCATTCATAGGGTTAATATCGAGTCACTCTTTTTAGTGTTATGCAATAAGGTCCAACGGTGTATACTCAGGTTTATTGAAGCCCTGGCTATACGAAAACTGAAACTCTATTTATGTGTTCAATAACAGCTTGTTTTTATTTTGAATCATCTTTACAAAGATAAACGAAGTTGAATATCAAGTCTTTTTACATCACTATTAATAAAATAGCACTGAAACGAAAAATTGACATCTTAAATATTATAGCAAAACTATTCAACAATCAAGTACAGACTACTGTAGTCAGACCAATGGAAATCTCCTAGTAAAACTCATAAACTTTTACTGTCTTTCCAGATGAAATTATCATCATCATCAGCATAGACTTCAGATGGAAATAAGCTATGAGAATTTTTTCACAAGTCTAGAAAGAAAATGAAAGCTTCACAATTAAATCATCCGATTTGGATTGGAATACGTAATTTCAATGAAATCATTCACCCTTGTTATAAATACTCAAAATTTTTGGGGTGCTAATTGAAGTGAATTATAAGTAGAACAAGGTAAGAAACGACAATGTACTGACCAAAAGTATAGTGATTAAGCCAATGGAAGCGATCATTCCATGTGTATATAAACGCATATACCTATACATACATATATATATAATTTCACTATAGATCGATAAACATGACTTATTATACAATTATTCAATATCAGAATAAATAAATAAATAAATAGACATTCAAAAAACACAAGAGGAAAAAAAAGAACAGGGAAGTAAAATGAAAGAAAATTCGAAAGAAAAAAGAATCCGTGTGCCAAAAATACATTGAAAAAAAACACACAGCAACAAATCAATAATCATAATAATCGAAAAAAATTTGTGAAAATGAAAAAAAAAGAAGGAAAAATAGCCCTATTACTACTACCACTACAAAATATTATATATCATTTTGGAAATTAATTGTGTTGAATTGCCATTTTTCTTGGTTTCTTTTTTCTTACTACCTAAATCAGAAACATAGTTTTGTAGTGATTATTAACTAAATGCATAAACAAAATGATAAAGTGTGTGTGTGTGTGTGTGAGAGAGAGAGAGAGAGAA